ATTTTGAGAGATCAACTCCCTATGGAAGAGTTCCTCTCATGGATAAGGTATCCATTTGTAGTTCATTTTCCTCTTATGCAAACCTTACTCTGTGCCTTTCTAATTTGCTTTTTTCGGTTTGATTTGAGTTTGTCTGATTAAACTTGGTAGTAATCTTAAATTAATGGTTTTTTTATAGTCATGCGACTACTTTCTCCAGTTTTGGTATCTGAACTTTTGACCTTGATAATTTAACATCCACATCTCTCTTCATGAGAATATGTTCTTGTTTAGTTGTTCTTCTCTTTTTGACTCTCTGCTTAAGAAGAAAAATATATGATTCCCTTAAAGATATGAGGTTCTAACTTTTGGACGCTCGGGACAACTTATGCTGATTAGTTTATCAGGCTTCATAATATTACTGCATAATAAAAGTATGTTGGTTTGATTGACACTTTGTTCGTTATGCGCTTTCAGATCAATACATTAGCGCAACGATACCCAGGCTTGATGTCATTAAGGAGTGTTGATCTCTCACCAGCTAGTTGGATGGCTGTTTCTTGGTATATCTCTCTTTCTTTCGCGCCTTAACATGTGACACCCAAATAATTACCTAGATAGAATCAGAGTAAAGCGTGCAATCTGTCTTGAGCATGTTACTAAACTTAATTGTTTTGTTGCTTATGAAAAACACAGAATGTGCAACTTTTTTGGAAAATCACTCAGATGTCGGTTATTATTACACGTTGTAGAGAATAAATACTGCTTATAAATGACCGTAATTACACAGATGCGCATGCTTCCTTATTAGGAGAAAGCAGAATTTAATTTAACTTTCTTGATGTGATTATTTTCAGGTACCCAATTTATCACATTCCGATGGGAAGGACTATAAGGGATCTGTCCACATCCTTCCTCACGTACCACACCCTTTCATCTTCTTTTCAAGGTATTTATTCTCCACGTCCATTTCACTTAGTTTTGTTTCCATTCTCAAGCCCTTTTCACCATAAATATCCAAGTTCTCCAATAGCTATGTATATGCACGATATTTACTTACACGTCCTGTTGCACTGTATGTAGACATGGACCTTGAGGATGATATTGAGAACGATAAGCAACGGAAGCGAAAGAAAGGGGAAGGCATCTCTCTCCCTCCATTTGGTTTGGCCACTTACAAGATGCAAGGGAGTGTGTGGGTCTCAGGCAACTGTGGAAGGGACCAAGAGAGGCTCACGTCTCTATTGAGCGTGGCGGATTCTTGGCTAAAGCAGCTTAGGGTCCAGCACCATGACTTCAACTACTTCACAACTATTAGGCGTGGCCAGTGTCAATAGCTTTAAAAGAACTCCTTCACTTGATAGTGAAAGTGATTGACCGCTAAACTCCTCTCTTGGGATAATTTGGTTTTTGTTAACCTTTTGTTTTGGAGTTTAATTAGCCGATGAGGCTGATTTAGGATTGTGGTTATTTGCTAGGGTGTTTTAGTGTTAGTGTTTGACGTTAGTATATGAGGGTACGTGATGAATGACTTTGACTCCTTTTGTTGGGACTTTGTATGTAGTTGAGAGATGGGTGAGGATAGAGAAAGGCTCTTTGAATCATGAGTTTATAGTGGTTTGTGTAAATTATTATATTCTCTTGACCGTTTTATGGAACTCTGGGGAGATAAGGATAAATTGCCTTCTGATTTTGCAATTTTTTATTTAAATATTTTTCTTCCGATTTTCCAAACCCTAACGTGTGGTCATCGATGTTGATCATATATTGGGTGGTCAACATACTGGGAGTGAATGTTGCTTTCTACTGTGTATATTCCACTCTTTATAATACTTAAAACATGATTAAAATGCTAAATGAAAAGAAATTTTATCTTTATAATACTTATAACATGATTAAAATGCTGAATGAAAAGAAATTTTATGACAGGAGTAGACTGTTGTTAAGGATAAGCCTATTTAAGTACACCGCTGTTAAGGATAAGCTTATTTAAGGGATTTTGTGGAAAACATCATGATATAAATTATGAAACTAGAGAAGTGGATCCTTGGTTGTTCTTGCATCAGTCAAAATCTCACTAATATGGGAAGTTCTGTGTATTTTGACTAGTTTATCTTGTCAGTTGGAAACATGGAATTCCAAAGCAAAACGACCAACCAAAAACTCTTAATGGCCTTGGGTTGCCTTCAGTCCTTGACTAGGTGCCATACTACATCATTCTGTGTGCTCGCGTCAGACTGAACCACCACATGACATAAGTTATTGCTTTTAGTAGATTGGTTGCACAAAGTTATATTATAATATTTGGGATTAGAGTCATCATAACTCTACCAGTAATCATGCTTTTGTCGCGCAATGAATCTTGGCTGTCACCGTCGACTTGAGACATGCAAAGAATTAGGGTTACGATTTTCATATTTCGGTTTTCTTCTTTCGCACTTATTTTCGTTGAGTGAAAATCACTTACTTAAATTGTTATCAGGATATTTGTTTTTGGTGGAGGTTTTAAGATTAACATGTAAGACATTTGACTAATATTTCAAGACTTTGTTTGGGCTTCGAGTGGAAAAAAAAAAAAAAGGGGTTTTGTCAAAAGCAATTTTCGGTACATAGGTGTGAACTATTAGGTATGTGTTGGATGAAATTTTCATATGCTAACTTTATGTACAAGTGGCTTTTAGTTTAAGTCATTAAAAGTATTTACCCATACACAAAATCTTCACATTTTCTTTTCTACTTTTAATATATACATGGGACTAGAAATGAGAATAGTGCGAGCTTACCTTATTATTATTCAAAGGGGAAGGTTTGATAAATGAGCTTTTAAGCCCTTTTGCTGAATTGTTGGTCCGCAGGCCCGCCCTATAGAATGAATAAGCAGAGGCATGTTGATGACCACTCTTATACTACTACTTACCACCCCCCCTGTCACTTAAAGGGCGAAGTTGCTGAAGCGAGTCTAAAGGCTAAAGAATGATCTTTGAACGCTACTACGCATCCTTACTAATTAATAGTATATTGTAAAGTGGTAGCTATTGCCTATTGGATTGAGACCAAAACATTCTAACTAGCCTATTGTGTGAAAGGAATGTTGTCATACTGAAAGTCTATCACTCTCTCTAAAAAGCGACAAGAACTTACACGACACATGTAAATCACCCCGATGACGTCCTTGTGCAAACAAAATAAAGATGTGTAAAGTTTTTGTCCACGGTGGTATCCTTTTGCCGGCGATTTAAAAAATCATCTTTAGTTTTGATAAACCTAGTGCGCACATAATTTTATAACTAATCTACAGTTAAAATATGTGAGTGTTAGTTATTGACTCTATAGATTGGTTTTGAACATTCAAGATGGGGAAGAACTCACTCTAGAAGGATAAAAATTTATTCCAGGGTTTGAGTGTTTTTGAATCCCATTAGTGCTCAATTACTTCTCTTGCCCATGTCATTCATTACTGCACTTGTAGAATGTTAGTGGTTTCTAAGACAATCCCATTGACAAATCTGTAAGCTCCTTTTTGAGTGCAACCGACTATGTGATCCACTTATGGCTTTGGTTGAAAAGTGGGGAAAACCCAAATTTCCCTATTTTATCTATAGAGATAGAAACATCATGTCGTTTTGATCTCAAAAGTGCAACCACTAACCACATATTGTAACATGTTGTGTACGAACTGATATAAATAACAAGGACTTTTGGAGTCTAACTACCAACAAACACCAAAATTGCACCAGCCATTGGGTTTTGTGGGTCTAGAGACATTGATCATGGATGGATTTGCTGTATTGCACTTGATATAATTCACTCAATCTGATAATCCACTTAGACATTAATAATAGCTTGCCACATGCCATGCTACGGTAATTTCTTCTTCTTTCTTCTTCTTCTTCTGATTTTTCTAATAAAAGAAATTCATAAATGTTTTTGATACATTGGATGTCATCAAAATCTTAATATACCTAAATCTAAACCATTTCCTAGCTGGCCTTATCATTTGGATAAATTTTAAGGAAAATGCTTTTATGTTAAAGTTGTCAGACTATAAATTTAGACTATTAATTCAGTAAATTCATATCTAAATTTGTAATTTAGATTAATAAAATGACCACATAAGCATTTATAGAAAAAATAAGTATGACAATGAACAAATGCTTTCCTTCTGAATAAGTTGCTTTGTTTTTGTAAGTATTTGAGTGCAATTTGCTATAAGTGGGATATTATCACCTATTAATTAATTTTTTTAGCTACAAATTAAGGACCTCGGATATCAAGAGCGCATGAGCTAGAAACTACAACCATTAAGTTGAGAAATTCCATCTATTTGTTGTATCAAATTTCATACATTATATGTATAATGTATCTCATACCTTCCTACCAAGCCTTGTATAACTAAAACGGACATTAGAGTGATTGATTGTGTAATGGAGTCTAAGTTAACTGGGTAAATGCATGTGTCTAATTTTCTTCATAGTTTAATATATGAGGTCACATTAAACACGCCTTAAATTACTCAGGTTAGTAGGACACCCTAATAACTTTAGGTGAGTAGTTAATCACAACTTGTACCTTCCTGGTTCTCCATGTGGAATATAGAACTGTTATTTTTTGTTTCGTTTTTATTCTCTTGTTTCACATACGCGCTTTACCGAAAATTGTTGAGCTACTATATAATTAAATCTTGGTTTCCAAAAGATGGCTTTTGATTTTGTAATCCACAGAATAATGTCTACGAAAGTCATAGGTGAACATCGTATTCTTATATTTGCAGTGTGGACTATATTATCCCATAAATCATCCAATTCGGGGAGGCCTGGTAAGGCTTTTAGCCTGCAGGTTAGTGGGTTGAGCCCATCATATTTAAACCCTTGACAAATGCCTACCCGAGCCTAATGAACTGATTGGCGGGTTGAGCCGAATCACCAGATGTCCAACCCTACCAATGATCAATACACACAAAAAAAGTTGATCAAACTTTGCGCACTGAAAACTTCAGAGTTTCTTTTGAGTACACCACTATATTCAAACAATATAATTGTAAAGCCAAATTTCTTATTGCATGCTAAGCATTTTTAATCGCTTTATTATATATTGAGATACATGATAGAATTAGCAAAACAAAACCGATGCAGTTCATTCCGGGTAAACTTCTATGATTGACAGGACACTTGGGATTTTGATGATCTTGTAGCGAGAAAGTCCTCCTGCCCTCAGCAGTTCCTTCCATTCAACTTCACTTCTCTCCTTCCCGCTTGAAGTTTGAACCATCATCGTTAGGTCATACCTTTGAACAAAAGAATCCTGTAGTCCACCACCATCTGGCTCTAGAACCCCATCAACTATAATGATCTTTCCAGTTTTCTCAGGGATGGCTTTGCAGCAGTTCTTCAGAATTTTAATGCATTGCTCATCATTCCAATTGTGCATTATCCACTGAAACACAAAAGAATTGTCATCTCATGCATGTGTGTAATAGCATCTGCACTTTGCACAATTGGAATGATGAGCAATGCATTAAAATTCTGAAGAACTGCTGCAAAGCCATCCCTGAGAAAACTAGAAAGATCATTATAGTTGATGGGGTTCTACAGCCAGATGGTGGTGGACTACAGGATTCTTTTGTTCTAAGGTATGACCTAACGATGATGGTTCAAACTTCAAGCGGGAAGGAGAGAAGTGAAGTTGAATGGAAGGAACTGCTGAGGGCAGGAGGACTTTCTCGCTACAAGATCATCAAAATCCCAAGTGTCCTGTCAATCATAGAAGCTTACCCGGAATGAACTGCATCGGTTTTGTTTTGCTAATTCTATCATGTATCTCAATATATAATAAAGCGATTAAAAATGCTTAGCATGCAATAAGAAATTTGGCTTTACAATTATATTGTTTGAATATAGTGGTGTACTCAAAAGAAACTCTGAAGTTTTCAGTGCGCAAAGTTTGATCAACTTTTTTTGTGTGTATTGATCATTGGTTGGGTTGGACATCTGGTGATTCGGCTCAACCCGCCAATCAGTTCATTAGGCTCGGGTAGGCATTTATCAAGGGTTTAAATATGATGGGCTCAACCCACTAATCTGCAGGCTAAAAGCCTTACCAGGCCTCCCCGAATTGGATGTTGATGTGGCTGTTTGCCTAAGGAAAAACTTTAAGGTAAATTTGTACTTTGATGCTGATGTGGCTGTTTGCCTAGCCTGTTGCCTTGTTCTAAAACCTTATTTAGTATTTGTTTATAGTTTGCCTAGCCTGTGGCCTTGTTGATTCTTATTTGATTAATTATGTTTAGTTCAGATTTGATAAACCAAGTTTGAAATCAAAGCTTCCTGCCACAAAACTAACTGGAGATCACAATGGAATCAGTCAATAGGAAGGCTTAGCTAAAACTTCTCAACAGTCCAATCCTTTGGCTGTTGAATGATTTTAAATTCAAATAGATTATTTGTTAACTGTATTATTTGTAAATTATCTTTGGTTTGTTTTTGAAGAGATTGTTCTTCACTCAAACTCTACTTGTAATCTCTATATAAACAGTAATACAATACGCTCAAACTATCGAGCACAATTATTATAAGATTTACAGCCTAGTTGAAAACATATTTCGCACGCACGCACGCATCTGTACTGCATGTGTCTCTATATATTGTGACATATTTGAATGCTGATGATGCTAAGGTACGTGTCAGTTGTTATTGATCTATTTTACCTTCATGAAAATGGCATCAGCGTTGGGAATAGCATCAAACATGTCACCCCCCAAATGGGTCACACCACGGTACCTTGGTGCCCTAGCCACCACAACGGGCAGGTCAAAATTGATGCCTCTTATATGTGGATGTGCATTTACAATCTCAGCCACAGCTTCCCCTATGCCTCCTCCAACATCAGCAATCAATCCAACTCCCTCAAACACATCTTTATAGTTGGACAATATTGCTTTCATGACAATCCTAGACGTACATGCCATACCCTCTTTGAAGTAGTTTCCCAATTCAGACATCTCACTTGGGACATCATAGAGGCTAAACCCATTTGCCTTTTCAAACCCACTTCCACCTTCCATTATACATTTGCTTATGCAATGCCAGAAGGCTATGTGATGGGGCTGGTTGGCCAAAAGCACTAGTGGGGCAAGGCTTTGCTCCTCATTGCTCAAAAGCCACATAGATGAACAAGTGAGGCCATAGAGGGTGTCACCTGTTTTGGCATCAGTGGTTGCCTCAAAAACCTTTTTACGCGCCAAAAATCTCATGAGACGTGAGAGGTGATCAAGGTTTGTGGTAGGGGATGCAATTTTAGCTGCAATTTGTGACAAGGTGACGGGTTGGCCTTGGCCTTCAGAGTTTATGATGTCTGCAATGCCAAGCTCCACAGCACCTTTCAAGGCCATGCTTTCAACAAAGTTATATGTGTAACGCAAAATATCAACTTGGCCTTGGAACATGGCTTCTCCTTCCCCTTCTTTCACTTCTGGCATTGCCATGATCTCCCTCCCTTAATTTCTTTTCAGATCACCTCGCGATAGATGTATTTATAGTGATATTGGTACTGTCATCGAGCCTATTATCTATAAACCACATTAGCATCCATATATCATGTAGCTAATTACCTCAGTTTTGTATGTATACAATCATGTAGCTAATTACCTCAGTTTTGTATGTATACAAATAGCGTTGTCCTTATGTTTATCTAGCTGAATCATGCAGATCCCCATAATTAGCTTGAATCCAAGGGAAATTTGTGCTAGAGCCTAATCATGTACCCGAAAAAAAAAGAAACAATAAATTTATGTTAATGCCTAATCACGAGGAAATAAAAACTAACCGATAAGAAGTATGCCTTACATCATCTCAAGGTTCGAAAGAAAATTAAGGTTTTATTATAAAACTAATTGGCAGTACGAGGAGTAATCCAACTTCTTATAAGCACATGCAAAGTCTATTTTTTTTCCCGAACAACATTTATATTCTCAACACGATCTCACATGTGACAGATTTTCAAGTCTAACATGTGGACAATAAAAATTAAATTGTGGTATTTGGGCTTCACACGTAGGCCAAGATATTCTAATAAATGAAGGAAGTTGAGTTTCTATGATAAACTAATTGTTAATATGAGAAGTAGTTTAACTCTTTATAAACGCATATCTTCTTTCTCCAAGTGAAATTCATACTCTCAACCATGTTTATAATTTATCGTTTTATGGTCAGAAATCGAAATGATAAAACCTAAGATAAACGAAACACAACGTAACCCAATTTCTGTGTATCTTTGTAAATGCGTACTCAAACTTTAGTCATGTAATGTACCTAAATAACTGGTGATGAATGTTTATCCTTTTTTTTTTTTTTTTTTTTTTTACCCTACTTCACTAATTCTGAATCTATCAAGTACTGGTCAACGAAATACCTTCGAAGACCTACTAAAGGATTCGTGCAGAGACACCCTTGCCGAAGCACATAAGTTCCTCTTCAATCAAGAAACCAAACACAAGTGACACATGTCAACACCTGAATAAAGCTCTTAGAGTCCCACATCGACTACGGATGATAACGAGAGACTCACCTCTACTATAAAAAGAGATCATTCACCTGCAATTGATCCCTGATGACATTATTCTACTTAAGCAATTATTAGAACTCACTTATGATATTGATTATGCTTAAACTTTTGCATCATGTGAACTCTACATTACTAATGAGAACTCCTCTACTCTCGTGGACATAGCTCAACTTAGGGAGAACCACACACATCTTGTGTTTGCTCCCCTTATCTCTTATCATTTTACATATTACCTTCACTGGATAACTAAAGCAACATTGTGAAAAGTCACACCTTGGCACTTTAAGTTGTTCTAAAGTCAACCCAATTTTGTACATCAACAACCTTCATTCTTCAATACGTTTGGCCTCTTCTTTAGTCTTGTCATGTACCTAAATAACTGGTAATGAAGGTTTACCTATTTCTTCAATAGGTTTGGCCTCTTTTTAGTCTTGTCATGTACCTAAATAACTGGTAATAAAGATTTACCTTCTTTCTTCAATATTTCTAATTTCTTCTTTAGTCTTATCAGGTACCTAAATAACTCGTAATGAAGGTTTACCTTCTTATAGGTTTGGGCTCTTCTTTAGTCTTGTCATGTACCTAAATCACTGGTAATGAAGGTTTACTTTCTTTTTGAAGGAAATATTTGTGAAGACTTGTTCATTTGAGCAACATCTATGCATGCAATTAACAATTAAACGGTGGAATCATGCACTCAAAAACAAAACTTCACTCATGAAATTCAAGGCCTAGTAATTGTGGTGAATCAAGACTCAACTCAAATCTTAAAGAAAAGAGTTGAGAAACTTTTATACATTTGAAGCACCTCTTTGCTTAGCAAAGGATATTCACCCATGTGAGAGCATTCTTTCCTTAGTCTCCTTGCTCCTTGACTCCATGGATGTGGATGGAGGAACTTTGCTTCTTGACTCCATGACTTATTGGATGGATGAAGGAATGGATTCTCCAAGTTCCCAAAATAGGGAACCTCTAGGTCTCCACACCAAGAAAAGCATTGAGGAAAAGATGAGTGACCTAGAAGAAGAAAGATTGCTAGCTATTTTCCTCTAGGGTGACTGGCCTCTTAGAGAGAAAAAGGAGAACGTGTGTTCTCTCCAATTTCCTCAAAGAAAACCCTAATGATGAAATGGCTATAAAGATGCATTTATACCACCTCACATTTGGGTGGCAAACTTGCAATTAAGCCAAGTTTACTACCCCTCACTCTTATGGCCGGCCTTGATGGGTTTATTGGGCTTTCAAGCCCTTTGTATTTTCAAGTTGTCATACAACTTGAGTTATTAGACTTGACATTCAAATCCCATTGGACCTTGAGGCCCAAAACTAACCCAAGGTCTAATACGAACTGATTCGTTTGATTAATTAATCCTAGCCATAAATAATTAAACCATTTAATTATCCTTACTCATCTCCGTTGTTTCTTCAATCTCTACCTTATACGGTGTATGATCCATTAGATTCCTTTTAGCAAGGCAGTGGGCAATTAGAACTCTTCAAATCGAGTATGAATTGAAACATACTTTCAATTCTCCCCTTAGTGATTATACACATTTAGGGCTTCCACAAACTATGAGTGACACCTAGCAGTATATCATGGCTACCCAAGCTAATCAGAAGAGGTAGAGAACCCATTAAGTTTAGGATTACAATGCAATACGGTCTTTCTCTAATACAATACTCTTGACCACATTGTTTGGTTTGATAGTTTATTCATGTCTACTATCCAATGTGATTCTTTTACTTATATGATTACCTTGAATGTGATTTGAAATGATTTTCTAAATCTCATTCATACTCTGGCCAGAGATTCTTAATCATATCATAAAGTATTCTCCCTTAAATGATTTGAAGGTTATCCCTTGTTGTGCATTCACTTGCCTCCATGGCTAAGTGGCTTAACCCCAGCTATGCCGTGGACGCCTTTTGACGGAGTGACTTTAACATAGTCAAAGATCAAGGACCTAACCACAAGACAACTATGATGCCTCAGGTCAAAGGACTACTTTGCATTATCCCAACCATGAGTTCTCATGTGACATGAGTATGAGAACTCCTTGTTGATTGTGTTTAGTGGACTTATTCTCTATTAAGCACCTACATGCTTGTCTTGGTGTCAATCACACCAATGACTCGAGACCAGTCACTATCCCTAAGAGAAGGCATATCACGTATTGATCTTAACGGATTGTCAATGCCCAATTGGCAATCCTATGATTAAGAACGTTTAGGATATGTATACGGAAGAGAATGGTCTCATGAATCTAACTTCTTTAGATCACATTCTCCCAATTACATATTTCTTGAACTTATCGTTTAAGCATATAACATTTATATGAGACGACTTTAAACAATAATCTTTTCCCTTAATATTAAACTAGATTAGTTTAACATGTGAAATGTTCGTAAAGTATCATCATATGATTCAATAGGTTTGGCCTCTTCTTTAGTCTTGTCATGTATCTAAATAACTGGTAATGAGGTTTACTTTCTTCTTTAATAGTTTTGGCCGCTTTTGAAGACGATCAATGACAAAAAATTAACAAGAGTATATGGAAGGTAAAAATAAGGGTGTGAATAACACTGTTTGTACCTAAATAATAATTATACATTTGCAATAAAAAAATCATTAGACATGGTTGTACTATAATTAAGCAAGATTATATCATCAATTTGTTGAGTATCAATAAATGACAACTCAGCACTGGTTAGTTAGTGAGGCTGCCATGTCATACTAAAACTGTTAAGTTGTTAAGAAGTTAGTTAGTTTGTTAGAAGTGTAAGAAGGAAGCTTTAAACTAGATCTATGTGTACATAAAATCTCTATAATTGTAAGGATCCAATTCATTAACTCTGAAATAGAATTCATATAGTTTACTCTTTCTCTCTTCAGTTGTTTCTCTCTCTAATTCTTCATTCTCCTCCATTCCTCATTGTTCTTTGATTCTTTCTCAATGTAATTAATGCAATTCACTGTCACATGATTTGTTAATATTTTATGTGTTCACTACATATCATTATTATTTAGGTTTTTTAGCCAAAATGGTTCCTGAGATTTGCATAACTCCTCACTTTGGTCCTTGAGATTTGAAATCAATAGAATTGGTCTCTAAGTTTGTCCACAAACAATCATTTTAGTCCTTGGGCGAAAAATTATGTTAAACAAGGATGATAAAATTAACATCAATTTAATAAACAATAGGCAAAAATGATTTGACAAAAATTGAGGATATTATTGTCATTTTAACCTTTTTTATGGAGATTTTTCATGGAATGACCAAAATGATTAATTGTGGACAAATTCAAAGACCAATTCTATTTATTTCAAATATCAGGGACTATTTTAGCTAAAAAGCCTATTATTTATTAATGTACCCCACGTTAGAACTAAAACTAAATATTTGCCGAAAAGAGGGAAACAACTTGTAATACACATTTAATTTTTTCCATCAAGTTGTCAAAGAATTGTAACCAATTTGAAAATAGGAGATGGATTACTCAAAAAGAAATTTATTCATTTGAAACCTTTTTTTTTTCCCGGTAACATGGAAGAAGAAAAAGAAAACACTAAGAAACAACTAATCTAGTTGTAGCAACTCCAGAGCAATCATCCGAAAGAGTTTGAACTAAACAAGAAGGAGGCTCCGCAAGCTCTTGAAACTCCATCTCGCTATTTAAGCCCAATTTGGTTAACCCGTCAACTACAAAATTACGCTCTATATGAACATGTTGCACATTACAACTCCAATTCTCTATAATCAAACTTCTACACTTCAAGACAAGACCATAAAGAGGAAGATTTATAAGGCTAGGTGAACCATGAAGGAGAGAGACCACCAAAGCAGAATCAGCCCCCACAATAAGATGAGGGAAATTTATAACTTTAGCTAGCTATCTTCAATCCATAAAACAAAACCCAAAGCTCAGCAAGGAGAACTTCCCCAACTACGTTTTTAGCAATAAAGCCAGTGATCCAGTTATCGTGCTAGTCTCTAATTAGTCCTCCACTTCCAATACCCCATTAGAACCG